AAAATTTGGTTGCTCTGAACTCAAAAATATCTCCCCAGTTGAAAATTTTAATCGTCCAGACAAATTTCATTTTCCCTTATATCCAAAAGCCGTACGAGTCATGCCGAGGGAAAGTTTCCGGGTCACAATATCGATAAAAATCGGAGAACGATTGAAATTCGAGAGATACGTGTCTCGTGTGCTAATGAATTTTTATTTATATTTTTGGAAAATAGGCATTACTTACATGCAAAGTATAGAATGTGTAAGAATAATAAATGCGTGACTAGTGCGAATAACCGTAATAATCCACTGGTGGCCGTCACCTGGATCTTCGAATTTAATTTGATTAATTCTAAATAAACAAACTGATTAGGAGAAATAAAATTGACCGATGGAGTGGGTTAATGTGGACCGATTGAATTGTATTTTCTGCCAATGCTAAGTCTAACACTAACTACTATTGCATTTCACGAGTTTAATAAAAAAATCTCGTGATCGTAAATTTCGAATTATAATGAAATATCAACGGATGAATCAATTTAGTTACAATGTTTCCGTTTGAAGTGTGTAGGAGATAATAATGACCGAGTGATAGTAATTTATTTATTTGATGCATGATGTTATGAACGTGTCAAGAGATAGATAATACATCTAGCCGATTAAGAAAAGGGATAAAAATTTTGTCGTTTATTCGGTGATTTTTCATTGGCGCATCATCATGAGATTTTCCTTTCAAAGTCAAAATTTTTGTTTCATCCTTTTTCTTTTCTAAAACTGAAAGCAAAATAAGAAGAGCGATGAAACTTTTATCCATCTTCGATAATTTTTGTTTTTCTACAATTTTTAAATATAAACAAAGGAGTAATCGTATTGAAGTATATGAGAATGATTTATTGAAAAATTAATTACGATGATGTACAATTTTTGGGAGATGTTTGAGGAATTGAGTTTGGAGAAATTGCAGGGACAAAGTTTTCTTTTTCATGTAATTTGCGAAGGTTACATTTTGTTGATTGTCCCGGTGATTTTTTTTTTTTGATTGATCAGCATAGGAGTAATGATTACAAGTGTACCAGTAGGCATAATGACGGGAGATGTAATCGCAACACGGACATGGCATACAGATAACGACTTTTAAGGATTTATGGTAGGATGAGGGGGTGGTAATGGTCATTTTTCAACTTAAATTATTGAAATCCTAATGTTCACCCACACTTTTGGGAGAGGTAATAATCATTAATTACGGTGGGAAATGGTTGTTCTATGTATGACTGTGCGTGTAACACTGTTAATAAACTACTGATGCTTATGAAACAATTTTTTCGACTTCTATCATTTATTGATTCCACGTCATTCCACGTCAATCCTCCATATTTAATCCTCAACGAATAACTCATTTCTAAACAAGTGGGGAATCGCTCTTTCATTATTTATAATATAGCTTTTTTTACTGATAATAATAAATTGACAAAGTGAATTTAACAAAAATAAACCCGAAAATGTTTCTGACATTTTTTTTTCGAGAAATAGATTCTGGTAAAAGTGATCGAATTTTCTACTGGGTGTGCTAGGCTTTCCCCCGGAATTTCTCCGCACGTAAATATTGCGCAAGGACATTTGAGATTATCTCATCTCAGGCACGAGGTTATTGGGTAACTAGAGACAAGATGTCCAGACGATGTCTCGATACTCGACCGCTAACTGATCCATTTCATTTTTTCGTCATTTCTGTTCTTTTTATTGAGAAACCCAACACGAGGTTGGATAAACGGACGCGGATTCGTTGCGTGGGATTGTTGAATTTCATCAGGGAATTTATATAATTTTTAATGCATCAAGAACGAAAGCAAATTATCCCGGAAAAAATAATACTGTTGATTTTAGAGGAGATAATAGACTTCAGGTGATGCCAAGAAATATTTAGTTTTTTCTATCGCTTTCTCATCAGTCAAAACTATTTATGAAGTATTAAATCGACTGGAATCGGAAATGTAGATCGAAATATGCAAAAAAATATTGATATTTTCAGTTTCCCCTCCGCAAAACGGAATCACCCACTTTTTTTGGTTCCCAGAAGTTCTTTCAGCCGAAAGGAATAGTTTTGAAAGAAAGAAGTGTCCAAGGTAGCTTCCCAGAATGAAAAAAAAGCATGAACAATGAAATGAATAAAATATGCGACGACTTGATCATTGGGACACAAGTAGTTGGAATGCGTCCCGCGCATTATTGATATGAAAATGCACTTGCAACCTGCTGGAGATTACGTTTTATGAATCTCCTTGGGTATTATTCAGTATCTTTCAGGGTGGGGGAGCTTTAAGGTGGATTAAAGGTGGTGGAGTCCATGGGTGGGACATGAAGCCGCTCCCGATGGGGATATATAAGCAGAGACGCGCCTTAACACCATCCTATAACACAATCTCCACTGACAAACAACTCTTCAACATGCGATTCATTGTAAGTTTTATATTTTTTTTATTTCTCCATCAAAACCATAAAAAAATTCTGCTATTATCAAAGATGTAATCCTGTAAAACAGTTCAGTGTTCACTGTAATAAGTCGACTCATCCCTTCGGTCAGTTTTACAGGGATATCTTCATAAGTAAAAGAAATAGCAAATTCTTGTTTATGACCTGTTTTGTAGATCTCCATTAGCCCTATAAAAAAGGTTATTACAGAAATTTCAGTATCTGTCTTAAATCTCGAGATTTTTATTGATAACCGGCGATAATCATGATCGGACTCATCACCGCTTCACTACTGAATTGGGAAATTGCTTTTTTTTATAATCATCCTTTGAGAACGGTAATTTTGGTAAATCACCTGAGCAATAAATCGAAATATTTCATGATCTAAGGGGGATGATGAAACATTTTACCGTTTTATATTTCAAAAAATATCAATAAAATAAATAAGAATTATTTTTCACAATCTTTATCCGTGGTTTGTGGTATAATTTTATTGTTGTAGAATAAAAATTGTGAAATTTACTTTTGTTCTTCACATTTTGCTTGACTTGAATAAATCGTAAAAGATCAAAGTACCCGTGAGAACTAGCTGGCACACCCAGGTCACTCACAGCTTCCCTTGGAAAGTTCAATCGATGACCAAAAACTCATTGGCATAATTTTCCATTAGGTGCAATCGCTGATTCTCTGTACTGGCCTTTCATTGGCGCAGTACACGACAACTCCAGTTCCCATCCTCAAGCAAATTAACAGGTGAGCAACTAAATTCCACGGAATTCCATCAACCAATCACTCAATCAATCATCCAAACAAATTGACTTATTTCCTGTGTAATTACTCCTCACGTTTTTATTCTGTTGGATTGGATAATTCGAAAGGTCGGATAGGTAAATCCCCAGTAAATAATACACATCATACTATCGAAGATTTCCAATAAAAAAATTAAAAATTCAGATTCGTATTTATAATAAAAACAAATTATGTTAGACGACCTGTGAAATATATTTATGGTAATTCCGATTATAATTGGGTCACCAGTGAACTTGTCACAAAAATCCGTTAAAGAGCTAGTGAAATAATTTATTATAAATCATCCTTGACGACATAATCACTACCACATAGACACAACGAAGACGGAAGCTACAGCTACGGATACGAAGCAGCTGACGGTTCTTACAAGATCGAATCGAAGTATCCGACCGGTGAAGTCTATGGTAAATATGGATTTGTGGACGATACAGGGACAGTCCGAGAGGTTGAATATGGGGCGACTCGTCGGGGCTTTGAACCAGCTGGTGTTGGGATCAACGTACCCCCCTCGACCTTGACCGAAAACACCATCCGAGGTAAAAACGAGCCAGAGGACGACGGCCAGTACCGCGAGGATCCTTCTATTTATTACACTGACCCGAGGTTCACCAACGGGGAAAAGTACGAGAGACGTCCACCCCCGCCACCTCCACCTCCTCGACAGCCTTACAAACAACCCACCCTGAGATACAATGGTCCTGCTAAGTCCGAGTAAGTAATCCAACATTTTGTGTATGAAATTTTTTGTTTTTTTAAGGAATATATGAATTTACAA